TCAATGGAAAATGTTCAATCAAGCTCTTTTGAATCCCAATGATCGTCTGATTAAAGCTGTGGATGATATATCATCGGTCATGTGACATCAACGGCGCGGGATATGAACGTTTTCTGACGGAAGGTACTTGCCTTATGTTAGACTATGCCTTCAATATATGGAGAATATGGTAATGCCGCGGTACAAATAGAAAACAATTTCCCCTTTAAAATTAAAACAACCTTCATTATGGATAGTAACTTTACACAATAGCGGTCCATAACGCTCGAAAGGTTTTGCTGTATTGCTGCCACGACATTCACAGACTGTTCCAACAGGCATTGTCTCTTTCGCCTAAATAGACTTTGGCAGAGACGTGGCGACTTGGTTTTGTGCTGTATACAGTTCAGTCATAACATAAATAATGATGGTGGACGAAAAAGTTTCTGATTGAGTATGAACAGAATACATCGTTATTGTACTGTCTACTTCACGCTCTGAATAATTGAAGAAGTGTTCTCCTAAAATAGACAGGAAGACTTACTGAACGTTTTCTATACACAGGCTTCAACCACTTCACAAATGCTACTTGCAAAACTTGGGACTTAAATGAACGTAAGTACAATATTTGCTACCTCACTGAGAACGCTCCGCTTCTAACACCGGATATATAACTTCAGCCATTTGGAACAGTGCTTCAATAACAGATACATGTACATGTACTAACAATTCAAACGCTGGTGACAATAGCGCGAGTGGCGACCACTCAGGGGCTTATACGTTATATGTTATATATACTTTAGCTAATTACATCAATATCAAACACCGGGATTAATACTTCAATGCGCTGTAATGGTACTTCAATAACCTGAAGAAGTACTTTGTAAGTATTTTAACTAGAGAATAACTAGGTTACATTTTACAGTAGTTATAATTCATCTATTGACAGGTGGCGTTAACTGACATATCCGGAAAAAAGCTTTAATTCAATAACTAGGTCACCATTATCTGGTTATAATGACTCGAAACTGAAACGCATGTCGATTTATCCTGTTTCGAGACATTAGTATAAGTGTTGTTAAAGCGCACAGATGCTTGTCAGTGTTACTCACGTTCGACCATTGTTTCAAATGTCACTAGATCGAAAACGACAGCTGGTAACTCGATACACGTCCTGGTGAAATGAAATCGGATACGTGCACAGAGCAAATTTTAGACAATGTGCGTGGGACGACTGTTTGGAATTGACCATAACAGGGCCGCACGCCATCAAAGTAGACACCAAGCTCCACTTAGTGCTACTGGTAGGTATACATATAATCCAATATTTGAACATTTAATAATCGAAATTGTTGCTAAACTGTGACCAATGTATGGGGTAACGGTTTGTTGTTCGACATCAAACATTATTGATGTACTGCTTACATTTGTACTTGCACAGAGGTAATCATTACGCCTGAACGCCGGCTTCATGGTTATCACTTAATCAGGTGATTATGATTTATTAGATTTTGATCGGATTATTGTCCGACACCATAGAGAAACCTCCTTATTATGACTGAATATTACATACCCCCTGTATAATACATATTCTGTTATTCTGACGCGGCTGAGAAACCTTTCGATATAATATCTGGATTAGAACCTGTTGCACATTTTTTTCTTCAAACGGCTTTGATTACATAAGGACCCTTCAATCTTTGACTGGATAAACTCCCAGTGGTGATCCTATTGGAATTCTTCTACTGCCGGCGAAACCGACGCCATTGGAGGTGTCTCTCTCCTCACGAGTCAGGATCTGTTGGTTCCATCTTGCTTCTGATGATAGCCTTAATTGGTAACCTATTTTGCTCTGAGGAGTCCGTCTTTTGGTATCCGTTTACTTCTGACGAGTCCCTTATTTGGTTATCTTTTTGCTCTAAGGATCCCTCTGTTGGTACCCCTTTTTCTGACGGTATGGTCGCGCTAGCTGAGTGGTTAAGGCGTCTAACATTCTGCTACCACTAGCCCTCAACCACTTGGTAGCGGGTTCGAGACCTACGTGGGGCAGTCGCCAGGTACTGGCCGTAGGTCGATGTTTTTCCCCGGGTACTCAGGCTTTCCTTCAGCACCGAAACCTGGCACGTCCTTAAATGACCATAGCTGTTGATAGTACTTTAAACACAAAATAACTAAACTGACGATATGAGCCCATGGATACATCTTACATCTGACATAAATACTAGTTTCAATATAAATGATCGATTTGGTAAGTCACCGTCTCTTATTATACATATGTTTTGGAACACTGTAGACACGAATGTTTCAGTTTTGGGCCTTCAGTACAGCTGATGAGTCTTAAAGTTCCAAAATTGCCAGATGGTGCAGTTAACTGTTAACTTTGTTTGCCTATCTGCGTATTTCTTTTAAATATTTGCTGACGGTCGGATTCACTTTGAAGAGACTTTTAGTTTTATATTTCTAACGAGTTAGACTCATTTCAGAGTCTCCTGTTTTTATGCGAGCTGCATGCTGAACATGACGGACTGATTCATTTGTAGGGCGTAAGAATTGAACCTGCTATCCCAATTGCATGATCGTAAGAGGAGACTTAATTTGGGATCTTATCTTTTCTCTTCTTTCTCAACAACTTTCTGCTTCCTAATGTCTCCCTTGACAATGCCTCACTTTCGGCCTTTAGTTGAGCGTTCGCCCCAGTGAGGAAGGCTTTGGATTCTGTCCCCTGACCGAGACATACCAGAGTCTGTAAAAATGGTAGTTTCTACTCATGCTTAACGCTCAGCAATTAAGGAGTGGGACGACTGGTTTGCCCGTTGTCAGTATAATGTGACCAGGTGGAGTGTCCTGCTGGGTGTCTTCGGCAGTATGTTTCAGTGAGGTAGCACTATAAAGTCGGCATCACTACCGCGCTATCGCAAGGAGACAAACACGAATATATCGCAGCCCCCCCAAACACACACGTATACACTACACGAATGCATCTTGCACACAGGTGAGGCCATCCTTAAATGACCATAGCTGTTGATAGGACGTTTAACAATACTAAACCAAACCAAACCAACCTGACGTATCTCCTGTTAGTGGTAGATTCCTACTTCTGGTTGATCTTTAGCTCAACCTCTAACAGGTCCTCTTGGCTAATCATACTGGTCTGAATCCTACATTGCAGGTATGACCCCTTGCACAGGCTCTTAGGAAATAATGTTTTCTGATTGATGGCGACCTTGACGGCTCTCTTCGAAAGGGTCTGATTTCCTTTTAAGCCTCGAAGATCATATTGACATGGAGTTTCTTGATATGGGCACAAGGGAAGCCTTTTACTCTAAGGGTCGGAATTCCTAGTAAGCCACCTACCTCTTATGATCTTTGCACAACGGGAGCCTGCTACCGTTCGTCTCTTATAGTTGGCGGAGCCTCTATCATCTTACTGATCTGGGTATAATTTAAACATCTTACCCTAAACAGATTCTGTTATTTAGGGAAGCCTCAGGTTTGTACAATGGAATATTCCATCCCTGTTGAACTGATATCCTTGAAAGGCTCCTTCAGGGACAATGGGTACCTCTTAACCTTAGGGTCTGGTTTAATAATTAGCATCCCACCCTAAGGGTATGATGTCCTTGTGAGCTTCTTACCCTAAGGGTCTGATTTCCTAGTGAGCCCCTATCTCTAATTCGACTCGTTACAACGGGACGAACTTTCAACATCTTATTTGACCTGGGATAATTGAACCCTCCTATTCTGAAAAAGGGTATGATATTTTTATATTTCGGAAAGTCTCCTACCCTATGGGTCCCTTTCTTGAGAACTTCTTACATACACAATGAACGCCTCTTAACCTAATGATATAAGTATCTTCATTGAGAGCCTCCTACGATCACAATTACCTAAGGGTCTAAATCTCTTTCTTAAGAGCCTACTAAAAGCACAATGACCGTCTCTTAATTTAAGGGTCTCAATCTCTTTCTTGGGAGCCTCCTTCAAGGACAATGCAAGTCTCTTAATCTGAGGATCTTAGTATAGTTCTTGAGAGCCTCCTTCAATCACAATGGCCGCCGCCTCTTAACTAAATGGTCAAAATATATTTCTTGAGTGCCTCCTACAATCACAATGACCGACGCTTAACCTAAGGATCTGTTTTCTTAGGGAGCCTCCTACAAGCAAAGTGACCGCCTCTTAACTTAAGGGTCTGATTTCGTAGGGAGCCTCGTACAAGCAAAGTGACCGCCTCTTAACCTAAGGGTCTGATTTCGTAGGGAGCCTCTTACTTCTAACAGCTGTCACTGTGTGTAGAGCCTCTTTATCGAGTTCCCTGTCAGACTTCGCGCTAACGTTTGAGATAGCAGACTGTGGGAGACCTTCGGTGTCAATAGAGAAGTCTACCCTCAATAAATGCATTCCTTGTAGTGTATTGTGTAATTTTGAATAATTTATATGACTCAATATGTATTGATTCGTCTAGCTGTTAAAGGGAATACATTAAAATAAATCAAAAGAAATAATCAATATTATGTACAGCTAACACACATATATACATATGAAGATTAACCACGTTCTTCGGTTTGAAACAAACAATCCAAGTATTTCAATACGAAGATTCTATTTTCAAATCAATTCATTTTACATTTAAAACATCGAAAAGGAATAGCATTTGTTATGGTTTAATTGTCCTATGTTATTTAAAACGACAGACTGGCCTCGCTCCTTATATATATATGCAAATAATATAGTTGAAATTTGTACTTTTCTAGTCTAGACTAATGTAATAATAATTTGCTATGACCAAGCACAGAAATTGTCTAGCAAAGACATTTTTACTGGAGGCGGGTGTACATTTATTGGGGGTATGTCTGTTTCTCGGCACCGTTATGTCATGGGGTACAAAGGGGAAACAGTTCACGTTTTATTGACAAGTGGTGCAGGATATATGTACATTAGTCTGACTTGTCATGGCACTGGGAGATTTATAACCAGATTATAAGTATCCTAGTGCTGGCTAAGACTGCGCCTTACATAACGAACACACATTGAGCTACCCGCAAACGAAACACAACTGTCCGCGTGAATTGGGTCCTTGCTACACTCTTCAACGGTGCAGGTTTGTACCATCATAAATTATAATTCTCTATCTAGAACGAAATCTTTTTTCATACGATCGAAGCATGTTTTTATTCTGTCGAACGACTAAAGCTAGTAGGATTTGTTTCCACCATTCATTTTCGTTTATTAACCCGTTCATTCATGCAAGTGTAACTTTCCCCTTTTAACTAATGTTGTACGACTTATTGATAAAAAGGCATTCTGAGGAACAGCAGAAGTGTAACGACCTAACTGTTAATACGATACAACGTCCCACCTCGGACGAAAGTAGTATAACCCTATGTAAGTCACTCTTTTGGTGGGATTTAGATATACTCAGGGAAGCTTATTCCCTTGTCTATCTCAGACAATCTATTATTTGGGCCAAACTTTATTTGTTGTCCTTTTTGGGGGTTTTCTGATCGTTTTCTTTTTATTCTGGGTTTTATTCTTTTTCTTGTTCTAGTTATTGTTCCGTTTTGTTTTATTGCAGCTGTCAATCAGATATGATATAATCCACGTTTACACAGCGACGATAAAGACTTTAAACATGCTGCATGTTTGATTAATTCTATATATGTTTGGACTTTGAGCTTCACTGAAGACGTAACAGCACCAAATGACCGTATGTTACATTTGAATGTTTACTTACCTTTCTGCATCAACAGAGATGACCGTAAAAGACACGTTTGATTCCATACAATGTTTACCGGCAATCTTTGATTCCATACAATGTTTACCGGCAAACTTTGATTCCATACAATGTTTACCGGCAAACTTTGATTCCATACAATGTTTACCGGCAAACTTTGATTCCATACAATGTTTACCGGCAAACTTTGATTCCATACAATGTTTACCGGCAAACTTTGATTCCATACAATGTTTACCGGCAAACTTTGATTCCATACAATGTTTACCGGCAAACTTTGATTCCATACAATGTTTACCGGCAAACTTTGATTCCATACAATGTTTACCGGCAAACTTTGATTCCATACAATGTTTACCGGCAAACTTTGATTCCATACAATGTTTACCGGCAAACTTTGATTCCATACAATGTTTACCGGCAAACTTTGATTCCATACAATGTTTACCGGCAAACTTTGATTCCATACAATGTTAACCGGCAAACTTTGATTCCATACAATTGTTACCGGCAAACTTTGATTCCATACGTTGTTAACTGGCAAACTTTGATTCCATACAATTGTTACCGGCAAACTTTGATTCCATACAATGTTAACCGGCAATCTTTAATTCCATACAATGTTTACCGGCAAAATTTGATTCCATACAAGGTTTACCGGCAAACTCTGATTCCATACAATGGTTACCGGCAAACTTGGATTCCATACAATGTTTAGCGGCAAACTTTGATTTCATACAATGTTTACCGGCAAACTTTGATTCCATACAATGTTAACCGGCAATCTTTAATTCCATACAATGTTTACTGGCAAACTTTGATTCCATACAATGTTTACCGGCAAACTTCCGCCCGATGCCGGTTAAATCCATATTTCGTCCTTCACATTTACTTTTGGGGGGTTTTCTGGTCGTTTTCTTTTTATTCTGGGTTTTATTCTTTTTCTTGTTCTAGTTATTGTTCCGTTTTGTTTTATTGCAGCTGTCAATCAGATATGATATAATCCACGTTTACACAGCGACGATAAAGACTTTAAACATGCTGCATGTTTGATTAATTCTATATATGTTTGGACTTTGAGCTTCACTGAAGACGTAACAGCACCAAATGACCGTATGTTACATTTGAATGTTTACTTACCTTTCTGCATCAACAAAGATGACCGTAAAAGACACATTTGATTCCATACAATGTTTACCGGCAAAATATTATTCCATACAATGTTTACCTGCAAACTTTGATTCCATACAATGGTTACCGGCAAACTTTGATTCCATACGTTGTTAACTGGCAAACTTTGATTCCATACAATTGTTACCGGCATACTTTGATTCCATACAATGTTTACCGGCAAACTTTGATTCCATACACTGTTTACCGGGAAACTTCCGCCCGATGCCGGTTAAATCCATATTTCGTCCTTCACATTTACTTAACACATTGTAAATAAATTACGCTGTTCCCTAATGTTCATGTTATGGTAAATTCACCCTCATTACAGAGGGCGATAACGTGGAAACTTAACCTGCGGAGAAGATTCGTGGTATACAGTATTTTATTAATGAGCTTCCGTACCATGCACTTTGGATTGTTTTAACTGGTGATGTGGATTCATCGGATTAGAGAGTAAGAAAATAGAAATACGTGTCGCTCTTAGTGGAATATTCAGACACTCTGATGACGCTGACAAGGTGGCCTAACAGTGCTCGTTCACGAGAAGGAATTAGAAAGATGGAGGCGCAAGAGGGTGTTACGGTTTGTCATCAAACAAAACATAAAAATGGTTTCATTTTTTTGATACTTTGATATTTTGATCAAAAAGCACCGAATTCAAGAATATTTTTTACTTTTGATATTCAAATACACAGGACAGAATATGTATTCAAATATCTAAGCAGTTTTATCATTTGCGGAAAATCCAAAAAAACAAAATATGTTTGAATTTCGAATTGTTAAATGTGACACGGACCACTTCCGTTCGGTATTATACCAACAATGTGGCTTCAATGTCGATATTATACCAACAATGTGGCTTCAATGTCGATATTATACCAACAATGTGGCTTCAATGTCGATATTATACCAACAATGTGGCTTCAATGTCGATATTATACCAACAATGTGGCTTCAATGTCGATATTATACCAACAATGTGGCTTCAATGTCGATATTATACCAACAATGTGGCTTCAATGTCGATATTATACCAACAATGTGGCTTCAATGTCGATATTATACCAACAATGTGGCTTCAATGTCGATATTATACCAACAATGTGGCTTCAATGTCGATATTATACCAACAATGTGGCTTCAATGTCGATATTATACCAACAATGTGGCTTCAATGTCGATATTATACCAACAATGTGGCTTCAATGTCGATATTATACCAACAATGTGGCTTCAATGTCGATATTATACCAACAATGTGGCTTCAATGTCGATATTATACCAACAATGTGGCTTCAATGTCGATATTATACCAACAATGTGGCTTCAATGTCGATATTATACCAACAATGTGGCTTCAATGTCGATATTATACCAACAATGTGGCTTCAATGTCGATATTATACCAACAATGTGGCTTCAATGTCGATATTATACCAACAATGTGGCTTCAATGTCGATATTATACCAACAATGTGGCTTCAATGTCGATATTATACCAACAATGTGGCTTCAATGTCGATATTATACCAACAATGTGGCTTCAATGTCGATATTATACCAACAATGTGGCTTCAATGTCGATATTATACCAACAATGTGGCTTCAATGTCGATATTATACCAACAATGTGGCTTTAATGTCGATATTATACCAACATTGTGGCTTCAATGTCGAATTATACCAACATTTTGGCTTCAATGTCGATATTATACCAGCAATGTGGCTTCAATGTCGATGTTATACCAGCAATGTGGCTTCAATGTCGATATTATACCAACAATGTGGCTTCAATGTCGATATTATACCAACAATGTGGCTTCAAGGTATTCTTAAGTGGAAGGCACTGGCTTTTGTTGCCTTTTGAAAGATAGAAAATGCTACTCGTTATTTTCAATAGCAGTTAACTTATGATAGGTTAATTGTAGTCCAAATTTAACAATATACCAATAACAGGGACTGGCCTATTGAAATTATCACATGGCACAAGTAAACACATTTATATTTAGTTATAATTAACTGCATGAAAACATTGTTTGTAATGATATTGAATCCAGGGCCCCAACCCTAGCATTACTCAAAAAATGTTGTGGGGCAATAAAAAAAAGGGGGGACAAATTATGTTAATTTCAATTGACACTGACAAAATTGTCTTGTTGCTAAGGTGATATGACATCAAAATTACTCAAAAGCGCTTTACAACATATGCTAATGGTATTAGTTATAATTGTGAAACAAAAACAAAGGCTTACAATCACTTAATATATACGCATAAAAGAACATATAAAGGGTGGTGAAGAAGAGTATTTTGGTATGTCTTGTGTCCAATTTCTGAATGTTTTGTTATAAAATGATAGTTTTCATGCAAATAATTCGCAGTTTAAGATTCGTACAATATTTCAAATATAGAGAAAATTAGATATCCTACAACTCTGTGCTGTTGGGAAGCGAAACTTTTTCATTTGTTCCTTCATTTAATGTCAAACGATATGACATTTGTTTTTAAATTATACATATTAATCCGACAAATCATAAAAAATCAACATTTGTTTTTTTCCAAAATCCTCATTTTCTTTTTCAAATTTATGGACTTCATCAGTTTTGAATAACAATTTAAAATCGCATGAAATGAGAGCTTTTCATTGATTTCATGATAAAAAATATGATGAAAAAATAAATTGGTCAACCTGGGGTAATATTTCAACTTAATATTCTTTTATATAGGATTGCGAATTATGAAAGTTAAATTAGCATTTTCTTTCAGTCGTAAGTGTAAGGGTTAGGAGAGATTTGGGCATTAGAACTAGTGAAGATTAGCACTGTAAGAGTATTAAAAAGATGACATAGAGGTAAAGGAGTGAAAGGACTTTAGATGGTAGAATGATTTGGAGATGGAAGAGATTTAGATGAATGAAAAGTTGGGAGGCTGCAGCTTCAGTAAAAGGGATTAAATTGCTGGACAGATAAGGACAGCCTACCGGTTAAGGATTAGGAGATTTACCAGGTTTAGACAATGAAGCAGGATAGTGAAAGGATAAAAACGATGAAATGGTTATATGGTCAGTTTACATGTCGAAGACTGAAGGAATTAAGATGATAGAAGGGTTGGGAGAGTTAAAGGATAAAGATGATGACATGGTTGGATGGTGTAGTTTAGGAGACTGAAGAGATTAAGATGACAGAAGGGTTGGGAGAGATAAAGGATAAAGATGATGACATGGTTGGATGGTGTAGTTTAGGAAACTGAAGAGATAAAGATGACAGGTAGGTAGAAAGAGTTAAAGGATAAAGATGATCACATGATTGGATGGTGTAGTTTAGGAAACTGAAGAGACTAAGATGACAGAAAGGTATGGAGAGTTAAAGGATAAAGTTGATGACATGGTTGGATGGTGTAGTGTAGAAGACTGAAGAGATTAAGATGACAGAAAGGTAAGGAGAGTTAAAGGATAAAGATGATGACATGGTTGGATGGTGTAATGTAGGTGACTAAAGAGCTTAAGATGACAGAAGGGTTGGGAGAGATAAAGGATAAAGATGATGACATGGTTGGATGGTGTAGTTTAGGAAACTGAAGAGATAAAGATGACAGGTAGGTAGAAAGAGTTAAAGGATAAAGATGATCACATGATTGGATGGTGTAGTTTAGGAAACTGAAGAGACTAAGATGACAGAAAGGTATGGAGAGTTAAAGGATAAAGTTGATGACATGGTTGGATGGTGTAGTGTAGAAGACTGGAGAGATTAAGATGACAGAAAGGTAGGGAGAGTTAAAGGATAAAGATGATGACATAGTTGGATGGTGTAATGTAGGAGACTAAAGAACTTAAGATGACAGAAAGGTTGGGAGAGTTAAAGGATAAAGATGATGACATGGTTGGATGGTGTTATGTAGGAGACTGAAGGGATAAAGATGACAGAAGGGTTGGGAGAGTTAAAGGATAAAGATGATGACATGGTTGGGTGGTGTAGTTTAGGAAACTGAAGAGATAAAGATGACAGGTAGGTAGGGAGAGTTAAAGAATAAAGATGATCACATGATTGGATGGTGTAGTGTAGGAGACTGAAGAGATTAAGATGACAGAAAGGTATGGAGAGTTAAAGGATAAAGATGATGACATGGTTGGGTGGTGTAGTTTAGGAAACTGAAGAGATAAAGATGACAGGTAGGTAGGGAGAGTTAAAGAATAAAGATGATCACATGATTTGATGGTGTAGTGTAGGAGACTGAAGAGATTAAGTTGACAGAAAGGTAAGCAGAGTTAAATGATAAACTTTATGGCATGGTTGGATGGTGTAATGTAGGAGACTAAAGAGATTAAGATGATGACAAGGTTGGATGGTGTAGTGTAGAAGACTGAAGAGATTAAGATGATGACATGGTTGGATGGTGCAATGTAGGAGACTAAAGAGATTAAGATGATGACATGGTTGGATGGTGTAGTGTAGAAGACTGAAGAGATTAAGATGACAGAAAGGTAGGGAGAGTTAAAGGATAAAGATGATGACATGGTTGGATGGTGTAGTTTAAGAGACTGAAGAGATTAAGATGACAGAAGGGTTGGGAGAGATAAAGGATAAAGGTGATGACATGGTTGGATGGTGTAGTTGAGGAAACTGAGGAGATTAAGATGACAGAAGGGTTGGGAGAGTTAAAGGATAAAGTTGATGACATGGTTGGATGGTGTAGTGTAGGAGACTGAAGAGATTAAGATGACAGAAAGGTAAGCAGAGTTAAATGATAAAGTTGATGACATGGTTGGATGGTGTAATGTAGGAGACTAAAGAGATTAAGATGACAGAAGGGTTAGGAGAGTTAAAGGATAAAGTTGATAACATGGTTGGATGGTGTAGTGTAGGAGACTAAAGAGATTAAGATGACAGAAAGGTAAGGAGAGTTAAAGGATAAAGTTGATGACATGGTTGGATGGTGTAATGTAGGAGACTAAAGAGCTGAAGATGACAGAAAGGTTGGGAGAGTTAAAGGATAGATGATGACATGGTTGGATGGTGTAATATAGGAGACTAAAGAGCTGAAGATGACAGAAAGGTTGGAAGAGTTAAAGGATAAAGATGATGACATGGTTGGATGGTGTAGTTTAGGAGACTAAAGATATTAGAATGACAGAAGAGTTGGGAGGGTTGTATCTGTTGGGTGCGGTAATTTAATCCAATCAAATGTTTATACATGCAGCTCCATCAACAAATTATTTTTCTTTTCTCTTCATAATATGTTTATATATATATACCGGTATATATTTTATATGTCTTTTCAATATCAAAATAAAAGGTTAGAATTTAAACCATTAGATTCAATTATAATAAAAATGAGTATTAGTAGTTGTTTCTCCTAATTTGATTATTAATTTGATAATACCAACTTGTTTATATGTGTTTGTATGTGTTCTAATGTCTATGTCTATGCTTGTACCACTGTCTGTTACTATGTTTGGAAAGGCCTATAGGCTATGCCTGCTGCCCAATCCATTTGTCCTTTGACAATAAAATTTATTGAAATTAAATTAATGATGAAACGGTTAGATGGTGTAGTATAGAAGACTGAAGGGATTAAGATGACAGAAGGGAATGGAGTTAAAGGATAAAGATGTAAACGGTTGGATGGTGTTGTTTAGGAAACTGAGGAGAAAAAGATGACAGAAGGGTTGGGAGAGTTAAAGGATAAAGTTGATGAAACGGTTGGATGGTGTAGTTTAGGAGAAATGGGGGATAAAGAGGACAGAATGGTTTAGAGAGTTAATGGACGAGGAAAGTTATAAATGGAAGGAGACAAGGAGGGGTAATGTGGTAGATGATGGCAGTGCTTTTTTCTGCGATAACCTATTATCGGACTTTAATAGCAGTATTACTAATTTTGGCATACTGTGTCTAATACCAAATTGTGCATGTGCAATCACGTGTGTGTTTTATATTCTTTTCATTTATTGCATGCATGTAGATTAGGACGTTGTAATTAATGTATCGGGCCTGTCTCGTTATTAATGTGCTTTTCTGGCGTTAACTGAGCTGAATGCATTTTTAACAGCCCAAATTTTCAGTTTGAAATCATTGAAAAGAAAAAAGAGATTTGCAGTGAGTACCCGTTTAAATCCGCCGACAGTTCAATCTTACAGGTATGTTTTGAGGGTAATTCATTACCACGTGTGGCCCAGATATGATCAGCAATCTAATTTTATACAGGCCTTCAGAATAGAAAGTAAATAATCCACTTTTGTTCTCGAAGAAACCTGTGGATAAAAGCTCTGAGAGAGATTTGCATTGTAAGGTCAATATTAGGTTTATCAGCAGTGTAACATTGGGTCAAACATACGTCCGCCTTATCTTAGCTCTGGATTTTTCAGATTTGGGCCAAGACCGTTTTGGCAGCCGAAATTGTTGGGAGATTTAGACGACTCAAGCTGTGGTAGACCACAGTACGCCGCCGGTACATCCCAGCTGTACATCGGCACGCAGACCAACCACATTTATATAATATCTTCTCCACGACTTCAAACTGGTGCTGATTTCCACTCAACTGACCATTCCAGTTTCACCAGACAGCATCCGCAGCTTAAACGAAATCGGTTGAACAAACGAAGACGGCCGAAACTCCATGCCGGCATGTATTGCTACCGGTGAAATCGATATTGGTGATACTAGCCGCGCATGTTTAAACAACCCATCGATCAATGTTGCTGATTTCCTATGCTTGCATCGGCTAGGTTCCAAGTATGCATGCACTCTCGTGATATAAGACATTGGAAAATAAAGTTTCGCATAAATTGGAGCAAGATTGCTTTGATTCAAGTGTAGGGCACAGGTTTTTATGTTTATTTGGATCCTCGAAAAGGAGCGGCCAAGGGTTCGACCACCTTAGATTTCGGAGTTAAAAACTGCTATCGATGTTTCGGGAAAGTAATAAAGGAGTAACAGTGACCAGAGCACGTGCTCCTTCACTGAGGCATACCCGTGAAAAAATCTACCTAACCATTTGTCAATGAACGGTTTCTGAACATTTAACACGGCTGGTTGAAGTAATCCCGATACATTCTTTATCTGGTGCATTGGATCAAATAAGGAGACAGGTGTTCTCACCAAGACTAAATTTGTTTTCGTGTAAACAATTTCACTCCTGTGTACCTTTATGAGATCTGTGGTAAGAGAAAAAGGTAGTAAGGTTGTTTGTAGATGGATTTTTAAAGATTACGGAACAATGTCTGACTGTGTTTGATCCACGAGATATAAGGAAGCAAAGGTGTTTACAACCTACCCTTGAACTTCTCACTTCAACTTTATTGGATATTCCGGAATAATATTATACAAATTTAAGCGTTTTACGACTACGGTCAGGGCCATATTGAGGACATGTACACAAATCTTGACCGCCCCTAACATACGGTTGGTGAACAACATCTTGTCTGTTGATTGGTCAGTTCCTAATCAGGAAGTTTCTAAAGCAGTCATGACGGATTTATTGGAGTCGCGTGTGCAGGTATCACAGCGATCGAGGACCCTTTAAATGACATAGTGTCGACCCATGTACTCTATAACGGATTGTCAGGTTTAAATAACGGCATGTCTATTTCTACCTGTGCGTTTACTTACCTGTGATGCAGAGTAAAGATATGCATGATAATGTATACCTGTAATACATATCAGTACATGAGATGCATAACCGTCGTGTATATATTGTACCAGCCATTATTGGACATTTTTCTTATATTACAGGTAAACTATCTGACGTCACACAGGTGTATATGGCCTGATCTACCTGTACATGAACTATGTATGTATTAAACCTCAATAACGAACAATACACCCTACACGTCAATATTGTCGTCTGAGTGATACAATCAGCGGCATATAAGCTTCTTATATCTCTTCACGCATGCGTAGAACAACATGAAATCGGATTCGAAATCAATGACGCTAGAAACTTCAGTGGGATCAGTTCCGAAAAGGCCGGCGTACACTCGACACACCACAAAGAATGTGCCGAGACGCCAGTGGCTAGGAGCACGTCGGAGAATAAGCTCAGTCAGTTTTGACATTCAACCCATTGAAGAAAACTTGTACGAGGAAAAGTATGTAAGTCTCGGTAGAAACAAGGACCATAATAGCTACAGAAGGATGAGTGCTCCAGAACTGCCCCCGATAGAATACCGGGCTAAGTACTCCCCGACACAGCTAGTGCTTCAGGGATCCTTACTTCGTCGGACATCGTACACTGGTCGAGCCGGCAGCCACCCTCATAGTGCTACAAGTGATGGCTCCCTTAGGGGCCAAACCGCAAAATCTCCCCTTAGTGCCAACTCGTCGTCATCGGGACAGAGCCTCGGGCAGCAGGGAAAGTCCGGCAATATCGGTCTGAATAGGGGAAAGACATGGTGTGTCCCGGAGCAAACGGAGCAAACGGACGTCGGAAGTCCCAGGACGGAACTGGGGAAGAGAAAACCTGTGGGAGTTACACAAAATCAAATAACACCGCGATCAACTCGGTTACAGTTCCGGACGTCGCATCTGTCCAGTAAGGATAATTCCTTGTCAAGCGGCAATAACAATACCACGTCTCTCCGGCGTCCGTTACCACACTGCAAAAGTGACTCCAGAATTATCGCGCCCATTGAAGAGTTCCAAAAATCAAAAACATTTATCAAACGGAATAGTGAACAGAAACTGAATGACAAAAACGCCAAGAATAACCAAAGGACGTTGTCAATTGACAAAACCGAAACTCTTACTCGGAGTAAAACAACAGCGGGCAATGTAAATGGAATGCGGCGCTATTCCTCGACTTTTGTGTTAAACTTTAATAACAAGAGTAGTGAAAATATATCAAGTACTACAGAACAAGAGAATGATGATTCGGACTCGGATTCTAACAAGGATCAGTACATCATTAACTGGATAATAGGTGTTCAATCAGAAGAGACGGAAATCCCACCGGAACCGGAAATAGAGTACCACGACGTGCCTCCGCAGACGGACACGGCAGTGCATATAGTGCACGAAGACTAATTTCTCATCAAACAAATGTGATATTTTTCTAACGGATATAATTATCGTAAGTCTTTATTGAAAACTTGTTGTTAGCTTAAATTCGGTTGTTGTGTACACAACCTGGTTTCTATGACGACCGCAGTTGATCGTGGTAAGTTGTTTATTGTTTGTTTACCCGGTAGTTTAGTTAAAATTGTGTCTGATATCGATCTCTGGTCGATTTGTTACCTGTTGTGTGTACTGTTATTATGTTTATGAAACATTCAAATATCGAGGCCATTTGGTCAATAATAACGATTTTTCTTTGACTAGATACGTTGATATTGAGTCCGGGTCAGCTTAAGGATAGGTAAAAAAGGATAACAACAGAAAGCATACCTGTATTTATATTCAAATCCGCCTGAAGAAGCCCTAGAAGGCAGAAAGGCCTAGCGGACGATCTGAAAAAATTGTTTTTATTCTATATTTTCCTTCGCAAGGACTTATTTATTTATTATCTACTATATATATATATATATATATATAACGGTAATACCGCCATATCGTATATTTTTATTTGAATTGATCCACATAGTATTTCATAAGGAATTCTTATTACTTTTGTTTGCGTGCTACTCATCTAAGCATTTTATTTTTACAAGGTAATCGATTTATTAAAGAGTTGCTGTCCTAGCTGGCCTGGGGCTCGGGTATTACAATACTTACTGTTTCGTAGTGATCAACGCCTAAATACCGACAACACTTTCATTGTCAGAGTTATTCAACCAATCAAATAGGGGCCTGTTTGTTTAAAATCAAAACAGCTGAAAAAGGAAATAAAAAATGTATTTTGTTTGCGGAAAATTTAAAGAAGAAAAGACGATGGAATGTCAGCAACACAAACACAGTGTGCCTTATCAAAACCCGAACGATCACATTTAACGTAATAGTGACGTCAATATCAAAACAAGATTTGATTAATTCCGCTTTACAGTTGTATTTGGTTCGTAACAAGCCGGCTCCATTAGTTGATATTGTTACAAATGCGTGTTGAGTAGACATTGGGACCTACACCGAGGGGTCCCTCCCCAAAGTGTTAACCCGGTGAAAGGTTCGTGTGACTCCTTGGCAGGGCACTCCATGATCCTCTCCGGCGAGTCGAGTGTTCATATCCTCGATTTTATCTGTGATAAAATAGGTCTTTTTTCCATTGGTTATATTTTTAAATGATTTGCAATAATTTGTGTCATGTTATCTACATCATTCAGACAAATATCTTTTAACCACAGAAATCCAGTTTTTAGGTTCTTGTAATGTTTTTTTTACTAAAACAATGAGTGACGAAACATTCGCTAAATAATGTCATAGTTTGTCATCTCATAAAAAAATCTTTACCAAATAATTGGTTTTCACGATATGAAATACCCTTGAAATTATATGAAATTCACGTGATGTTCGCGTGATAGTTCCCTTTTGGACCTTTGTAACACATTTATTTTTGGAAATGATCTTGAATTTTCTTGATAAGGAATTTCAACCGTTTCAAAGATTTGAATTTTCATTCGGTAAACTTTGTGCCAATTTTAACCCATGATAAATATGGCGCCTGGATTTTCTGCCAAAAGATAATGCTGAAGTTGTGGAATATTTTTACCTGTGTCGTATACCCTAGAGAGTCGTTACCAGCTGGGGTTCCAACTTATCCAACCTAAGGCACCGGACCCATCGATTATCCATTATACACCAAACGTACCTCCACAATAGGAGAGTTGACGGATCTATCCCTGCTCAATAGGACGGCAAAGAAACATGGCCTCGATTACCAGCAATGCATGCTAGGCAATCGTAAATCGTTTTAATTAAAATAAGCATTACATTAAAAAGGATAAATAGGAGCAGAGCCCATACTTACTGGTCACAATCAATATAGTTCTCTAACAATAGATCTTAGATCACACATGCGTCAGACATTCTGTTGATGACAACAACCCCATATTTTGGACTTTCCTGTTTATAATAGGAGTAGTAATACAAAGTTTGTTATGCCCAGTTCTTCAAACTGGCTAAGTCATGCAAAAAAATCAACTTAGGCCATATCAGGATTCTTTTTCACAAACATATTCTCTAGGTATGGTCATAAAGATGTTATAACAATTATGTATCTTCTAATGATACGAACAGTCTTATGCTCATAGACACTATATATCATAAATATCTCACCAAAAAGTAAAAACAAATACCCTAATTCTCACTATCTTATCAGCAGTATTGTTAAATTAATGTTTCCTTTTTCTAAACACATTGGTTCAAGACAAATAGAAGATTTATAACAAGATGCATCCTCGATATCCAGGGGGAACGTTCACCTGCGCTCCCTACCCCTGGACATCGAGGAGGAACAAGATGTAACTTATAATGTGTCGTCTCAGTCATTCAGCCGGTAGATAGCGAGTACGTAATATATAAAGTAGGAAACGTATCGGTCGGCTATGTACGTAATACGACAAAGCACGCTAAATGGACACCGGTCACTACTCCAACCCCTCCAGCTACATAACAACCACATCGGTCAGTTTTAATTCACTTTCTCGTACAGAAGTAAACACATGATTTATATTTATATATAAACATATATAAACAGCCCGTCAGAATGAGTTAAGTAATGCCAACTGTTTCCCAAGGAATAGCCAGCTATACTGACGCTTTAAAATTTCTTTGCAACGAGTAGTCATTTTTGTCCAACTGAGTACTTAGACTGAATGACAATAAACATAAACAGCTATGAACTTAATAAAGAAATGTGTACACGCTAAATCTGAACAGGACAGTTTTTTTAAAACCTATGTTTCAGTAAAAGTATATATAGATAGATAAAAAAAAATCTCGTTTACACAAACAAGATTTTAATATAAGCTCTAACATATTTTTTGGGGAAATTGACAACCCTTTTTTACTTATGAAAACTAGTGAGTTTGGATAGATACAGATATCCTTCTCCAAATATTATTTGAAAAGTTTGAGCGGTTGAACACAAAATGTGTGTACATTAAAGAGACGTAAAACAAAACATCCTCGATGAAGATGAAATTAACACAAATGTTTAAAGTTTAATTAGCGATTCTATAAAACTTCCTCTTTGTTTACCATGCGAAAAAGGCATGCCGGCTACATGGACTCCATTAAACCCTCACTTGATTGGCGTCGTTATAATTAGCAAGATTGCACCTAGTAAGTTATTTTGAGTCTTTTTGTACTTTATTTCACTCATTTTACTCTAAGTGTCAAATTTTCAGGATCTTCATGTATTTAAAATGATATTTAAATAGAAAATAAAATCGTATATAAAATCTAAACTTTTCTGTGGTAAATATCTACCACATTTGCTCCAGGCTCGTGTAGAAACGGAACAAGGACGTTTACGTCACAAACCAATTAAAATATACTACATGTACATGCTAGACTTGACGGAATGACATTACAATGGCACTTTAATGCTCAATTAAAACTTCGAATAGTAATTTGACGGCAAGTTACACAAATATAAACAAAGTCCATGCTTTAGTTGTCACGGTTAAACACCCCCCGTATCATCACCGTTGTTGATTTCAGTACATGTTTACAAACGTTAGGTGTATAACTGTGGCATAAATATCCCGTCTCGGAAGTTTCTTTATAACCTCTCTCCCGGAGACTCAATTTAAGGATAATGCAGAACTAATGTTTAATTAAAACGTATCAATTGACTTTTTTGAAATCATAATTGGTAAAATTTATTATGACGTTTAAACATGACCGAGCATTTTTTCCCTAAGAACAAATAGATAAATAAATAAATCACCATGGCCCTAAATGACCACATTTGTCGATGGGCCGTTAAACACAAACAAACAAACAAATCCCTAAGAACATTTTCAGTTAAAACATGCAAACAGATAAAATTATAATACGTTATTGTTTATTTTAACATGTCAATTAAATTTTTTGAAATTATAATAAGTAAAATTCGTCATGACGTTTAGCATGACCGAACTATTTTTTCCCTAAGAACATTTTAAGTTAAAACATGCAACAAAAATAAAATTATAATACTTTAATGACTTTTAACATGACCGAGGGTTTTTTATCAAAGAAAACAATGAATAAAATCAAGCAACAAAGATACGAATTATAATAAGTTATCATCTAGTTAACACTTCAATTAATGTGTTTGAAGTTTTAAGTGGTAAAACTTTTGGGAGACTTTTAGCATGACCGGGCATTTTTTATCTAAGAAAACAATAAATTAAATAAACAAAAAAGATACAAATCCCAAAGGTAATAAACATACGTCATTTATTAACTTAAGTGTTTTTTAATTATAAGTGATGAACTCGTGATCAGTTTTGACCGTGAATTCAAATCCCCTAAAAGGTAGTCGGGCTAATGAAACATAGGCTATTTCTTAATTCTATTTACTACAGGTATAGTATGTAGGTACCAATTGCAGATAGAGTGTGCAGGTGAAGTCAAAAACAGAAACAGGTAGTCGGTATTTATAAACAAAGTAAGATTGCGACAGACAGGTGCTGAAATAGTGGAACCACTCAGTGATCACGCTCCCACTGTGTGACCCCCTCCGAGAGCGACGTGAGGCTTTACGGCTGGTGGCGTGCCAACAAAGTGGAGAACAGAAGTTTTGGGGATTTTTTTCTTTCCGGATATCTGTCTGTCCAATCAATTGTTCCGTGTTTCCTTTTTTTGAATATGTTCATAAGGAATAACTTTGATTCTTTCATTTATTATTGACTTCGAAGAAAAATACATACTGCGATTTATTTCGTACATGGATACTTCATTTGTTTCTTACTTTAATTCCTACTAAAATTCTCAAAACGGAATTTTAAATAGGCGCAGATGTATATCACGCTTTAAATGTTCTTATCGTTAGATACGCCATAATCAGAGATAACATTTAACCTAAGTTAGTCGCTCCATTTTAATGATTCGCTTATGTTCAATTAAGCTTAATTAATACTATCAACTTGTGCTTCAATGATGTTCTTGACAAGAACCAGCCATCCTATTGAAGCCGTTGACGATGAGGCTGCTGCCAAGCTATCGTTTTAAAGCTTTAATGCTTTCTTTCGGTTATTTTCGAGCAGGCAAACTTTTTTCATCAAGATTCTTTGAGTAAAGGTTTATTTACATGTTTGTTTGACATCACAATGTAAACGGGCAATATTTATATTAGGGCCACATGCACAGACTGTTCACGTGACCTTATTCCGCGGATTATTGTCTATACGACCGTTGGATTTTGGATTAGTGAAAATTTCCAATAGTCGTATGACCCACTGGTTTATTAAAAGGAATTATGTTTTTATTTGTAAGCGATATCACATGACCACACAGATACAAACTGGATTATTCTAGCAGTATTATGGGTCCATTTAATCATTAAGATTATCCGGGA